CGCTCTTCCAGCACAAAGATAAGCAAGTGCTCGTGCTCTGAGCGTTTGGCTGACATGAAAGGCACAGGCTCCTTGTGCCGTCTTCTTTGCAGATGAAGCTTTGAGTACACAAGGAATACCAACTTCCACAGGGAATAAGGATGTGCACCTGCTTTCAGGGGCCTGAACTTTTGCCTGCCTTAAATGAGCGGCTCTTCAGGGCTTCCCCTGGCCTGGAGGGATGCAACCTCGGACGTCATTTTGCATCTGGAGTGTTTCATTTCCCGTGGAGGTGCGTGCGGGCTGAAGTATCAGTGCGATTTACTCAAAGAGATCAGCAAAGCCTCGAGCCCACGGTCCATCTTCCTGGGGAGCATGGTGTGGACAGGGGGAGACCAACTGGTGTGGACACAGGCCGAGGTTGCTCGATTCCCTTCCTGTGGTTCCTGGCAGGCACAGTGGCCTCAGCACCCTTAGCCTGAAGCAGGCAGCACAAATCAGTGCCCAAAGGGTGGGGACAGGCTGGGCCACAAGCAGCGAGGCCAAGATGCTTCCTCTCGCTCGGATGCCTTCTCCGATAGTGCTAGCACTCTTACCAGCGCCCGGCCGCAGGCGGAGGGGGCGGCCAGCTTCCCATCTGCTGCTGGAACCCCGCCTCTCTGCAGATGCTTGTAAAAAATAATTGCTGACAAGCTGCCTTTGCCGTGGGCTGGATCACACTGCCAGATAATCCTCAAAGCTCCCACTGCCTTCCCTCCTCAGCCTGTTTCAAACAACTCTGCGCTTGTGCCATATGGGTTGCAGCCACCTCTTCAACCACCCCCAGCACCGACCTGCGACAACTCCCTCCATCACGCTACAAAGCGCTTCACACAAAGTGAAGGGTGGGTGGGTCAGGACATTATCCCCGTTTTACAGCCATGGAAATTGAGGCACAAAGGACAATTTCATCTAGCAGGCAAGTGGCCAAGCCCAGTCTCCTGAGTCCCAGGCCAGTGCTCTATCCACTATCCCAACACTGCCTCCTATACCACCAAGTTTAGTGGAGGCTTGTTTGTCTAGTGATGCTTCTGCCTCACCCGGTACAGTTTGAAACTGCTTCTTCCACTGAAATCAAAATACAGTACCAGCTTCCCCAGTCCCTTCCTCACCAGACCTCAAATTCACAGACTGGGGAGAAGGGTGCATTGGGGGGACCCCATGTTTTAATACATGGGTAGCACATCAGCTGGTCTCCTGTGGCTTGAAGCCCCTGGAAAAGGCTTAATTCTGCAGAGATGTGCAAGACACACAACAGCACTTGGAGTTTGTCATCAGAGTCATGCAAAACCCGGTTTCCCGCAGCCCCATGTTCAGGCCTCCTCCACTGGAGCAAGCAGCTCCATTTCGTCACAGTCGCTGAGGAACGATGGAAGATGGGATCTGCTCCTATGGCCCTTACTCCCTCGAGTCCGGCCAGAAGGATCAGGCCTTGAGCTGCTGCTGGACCAGTCTCATTTTCGGGATGCAATGCTCTTCCTTTGCAACATCCGTGGTACCGTGCTGAGTCGGGACTCAGGCGGAGGCTTCAGGAAGCCAGAAGACAACGAGTGTTACCTGCTGTCGGGGAAGGGGAAGATGCCCTCCTGGGTTTGAAGCCAGCCCCACTCGAGTCCATCACCTCCATCCTGCTGCCGTCCTCGTCGGAGGGGTGTTGGCCACAGCGCAAGGCTGGCTTTCACCCAGTGTTAGTATCACGATCTCGTTGCTTGTGTTCCTACTAACACCCAGAGTGGGGAGCTCTCCTGCAAACTCCACTGGGAAGATCCTCCATGATGGTAAGGCAGCAAGCGAGTTAGTTTAGCAGGCCAGGAGTTTGACTGCAGTCTCTGGCATCTCATAGCAGGTACTGAGAGCTGTTTGACGTGGGACCTGGAGCCGGTGCAGGGCAGAAGGAGCCATAGGGATGGAGGGAGGCAGCCCTCCGCCACCTCTCATGGCCAAACCAGAAGCAGGGAATTAGCACAGTCCTACCATGACAACAGAGACCATCAGGACAGGGCAGGACACGAGCGAACAGAGAAGGGAAGAACACGGACACGCTTTAACATACTACGATGGCTCGCCTCTGCTGTGTGACGGCATCCGCAGTTCTCCAGAGACGCCCGCCCCGGTCCCTTAGCAGGACGACTCGTTCTTCTGGCTGAGGTGACAGGCCTTGCAGAGGATGTGGCTGTCCAGTGGGGAGCAGCCACTCTCGGGCGGCTCCCGGGGCCGGGGGAA